CTAAAAAGCCTATATCCAAACAACATCTACAATTTTGAAGGAAAAGTTTGTTGAGATTTACCATGTATCATTGGAGTGCCATTGCTATAATTTGGCAATGAATATGCCAAATTATAGCAATGACAATGGTATTATAGCAAATAGCATTGGAGATGCTCTAAGGGAAAGAAGCTAGAAGTATACCTCTTGAAGAGGAGTAACCCGTTGGAGTTATAAACCACAAATTTCTCACCCTCAAGAGCTAATATGCAAGCTCAATAACCTCAATAAAGAACCCTTAAAATTTGGTTTAGGAAGTCTAGGTGAGGTGTGTGTAGGTTGCAAGGAAGAGAGATATATATATATTTTTTTTTCAGAATTTTGCTTCACCAAAATTTTCTAACCTAATTTTATGAGAGGGGGTCAAGTATATATAGAGAAATATGTTACTCCCTCGAAAATATCAGTATAGACACAGCTAGTGCAGTGCATGCACCTGTGGAGACAACTAGCACAGCTGGCAGCAAAATATCTGTTCAACCGGAACAGTTGGCTAGTCGGCTGGCCACTAGTGGGTCTGCAGGCCTTTGAGTGGTCAGGCTTGGAGAAATATTGTTTTGGTCCAAAAGTGGTACAAGGTTTGCAGGCTTCTAAGACTCAAAACTAGGGCTTCCCGCTGAGGAAATTGAGTGTTTGGACAGCGTATAACTTCATCATTGGGTGATCAATTTGTGGCACCCAAGTCTTAAGGGTGGTAAAAAATGAGGTGTCTACACCATGTTTAGTACTTAGCTCCCCATCTTGGTTTAGATGCCCACTTGTTTCTACTGGGCCCAAAATTTCCTCTAGGGATAATTGGGTTGGCACTTAGTTAATGGTGTTATGAACATCTTCCTTATTCCATTCAATTCTACCTTGATTTATCCCTCAAAGTAATCCCTTATATTGGGCTTGGTCCAACACCACATTAAGATTGATGATGGGCCTATGAATCTTTGAATTACTTATACTTTTCATAACGCCCACTAAGGACCCATGTACTATGTCTCTTCTATTTCTCTTGTTAGTGCTTTGCATCATTACCTTGGGATGCCATCCTCTTTTCCCAAATCTGCCACAGCTAATCTTAGGTCTCTCTAATATATTTTATTTACTAATGAAACAGTAAATGATCTGCATCTACTATCCTCATTTGCCTTGTTGTGTCCTTCCCTTTGGTCAAATGCCACTTCATCATTTCCTGCCACTTCATCTTCTGTTTCATCCACGTCATCATCTTCTTCATCCTTTTATTCTCCTTCTCTACAACTTTAGCTTCACTATACTGATAGTATGATCATTTCTCTTCCCTTTGCGGCTCATGACATGAGCATAACTCTTCACACACTTTGATTGTATTGGCAAAACTTTTATTGATCAGCTCGACGCTCTTGTTGATTGGCTCCATTACCTTCGTTAAAATTTTTACTTTACTTCGTGCTAGAGTTGACATGGGCATTGTGTTCTCATCAACCTCTAGTACCTCAACCCATAATTCCTCGATTTTTTTGAAGTTTGTGATGTTCCATAGATTGAAAGGTACACCATAACACCATAGCCAAACCTCCATTTCTTGTTCTATAACTATATATTTTCTCCATTCTACAATGGTTTCGCATCATTCATCGATCCATTCACCTAACACTTTCCTCCTACACCTTAGTGCCTCTATTGATTCAAAAGATAATATTGCTACTCTGCTTCCACCTTCTCGAACTCGTACATTCTTCAAACCTCTTTTTAATGAATTCATTTCTAAAGTCTAAGAATTGACAATGTTTCCTAAGTGTGACTATAGCACTTTGGTGTAACCACTCATTTCCATATTCTTTTGTTATGACCATGTCTTCAATTCCATCTTGATGTTTCTCTCTTCTAACCCACCTCAGCGAAAGATGGTCTTCTACTTTCCTATTCTCCACCATTTTCTTTTACTTGTAGAACTTGCTTGCCTGGGTTCTATATCTCTCATTTCTGCTCTCTTCCAAATGCGGCATTCTTTACGATTAAAGATCTATTACCACACCATAGTCCATTTGCCTTTTGTATAGCCACCTGTGCTACAACTGGACAGTCATATCTTACGTATCGGAACCTTGATCTTGTTGCTTTCCTTCTGTTAAATGGTATGAACACATCTTTCACCACTCCAAACTTTGTGAACAAAGTATAGAGACCTTAGGGATCCATGGACTCTGGGAGGTTGTCCACAAATAATGTTTGTATGCTCGGATTTCCCATGCTTCTCAAATGCTTTTTCCAAAAAACTGGAATCCATCCTCTATCATTCCTACTTGCTGCTCCTCTAAGCTTCTCTGCTCATTGTAAATTGATTTTTTTATTTTTTTTTTGGTACTTTTTTATATATATTTCGTTAACTTTTTTCATATGAGTCGAAAAAACAATAATTTAAGCTACCATTGATAGATGAGTCTATTACCTATTTTTGTTGAGATTATCTTATACAACAAACTTGTTTAGGTCAAAGAAGTTAGGAATCACTTATATTATTAAAAATAAAGTAAATTACAAATACAGCTCTTGAGATTTTCTTAAAATACGAATTACTCCTGTAGTGTTAGAAATTATATCATATCCCTAGAAGTTTCTAATTTCAAAACAAATAATCCATTTTATTAAGGATAAACTATTAATAGGTCCTAATAGTTGGACTTAATTCTCATCAAGTCCTATTGAAAATAAGTCCTACCAAAATTGTCGTTAAAAATAATTTTTTGTAACAATTTTTTGCATGTCGCTAAAACTTTCAATTAGTAACGTTTTTCAAACTGTCGCTGAAAGTTAAAAATTAGTGACATGTTTTTAAGCTGTCGCTAAAACTTATAATTAGTGACATTTTTTGTGACACAATTTTCAGTGATAGTATGAAAATTTTATTTTTTTAGTATGAAAATGTTCATAATATCACTGAAAATTAATAATTAGTAATGTTTTTTAATAACGTTTGATCAAAATGTCATTAATTATCATAGGACCTATTGGACAATAAGTCTACTTATTATGACCTACACGTAAGTCCCATTTTCATTAATAAATCATCAACTCAATTAACATTTTTTAATGATGTCTAAAATTTATTTTAATTAATAATCTAAGTAATTTTATTATCATATAAGAGAGTAGATAAAAGGTTTATTTTTTCAATTAATTTTATTAAATAAAAAATTCTGACAGAAGAATGTTTATAATTTTTTAAATTACATAAGGCAATTTATATTTTAAATAATTGTATAGAGGTGTATTTTTAACACTTGAAAATAAAAACACTAAGAAAAGGAAGACCGTTATGCTAGGAGAATGATTTTGTTGACAGAGGTTAAATGGTATAAAATTAACATTTATAGATGGACAGGTGACAACTTATAAAAAAGGGGACAGGAACTTGGGATCTTAACCGATCTAGATCTTAATGAGAAAGAGTAAGGATCGTCGGCCGCACTTTCCTGCGGCCCTCCCTGTCGCGCTCGCCAAAACGACATCGTCTTGTTTTGTGTTATTTTATTTTATTTTATTTTTTCAAATTTTGAGTTTTTTGCCCACTTTTGTCTTTCTCTATCATTGATCTGTTTATCCCTAACCAGAGAAGAGAGAGAGAGACGCGCTAGACAAAGGGAGAGAGAGAGAGAGAGAGGCAGAAAGACGACGATAGAGGAACACAAGGGAGAGAGAAACGAATTGAGAGAGATGGTGGGGGGACGCGATGGTGAAGGACAAAGGATGACAGAGGGAGGCAACGATGAAGGACAGGGGATGGCGGAGGGACGCGAGTCCGGCGGCGACGCAACGACAGCAAGGCGACATTGTAGCCATGACGAGGTCCATTTTAGTCTCTGTTTCATTTCTCCGCCGCTATGTACATATATACGTATATATAATTGTTTTATACAGTTCTGCTGATATTTTTGATGAAATGTTTGAAATGGGTTTGATGATATATATGATTTGTTGCTGATATGCACAGCGTTTGATGATATGTTGAAAACTCATTTAAGGGCGTTAATTATATTTAGAAAATGTGTTAATTTAAACCCCCTATTCAGTGCTTATCAGCTTCTAAAGCTAAAGTTCTGTTTTTTTCCCAATATAAAACATTTAGTAATGTTATACGAACAAAATTACTTTGAAAACTGATATGGCAATGGGTTGTTCCCATTATTTAAATATGTTGTTATGACATCACACCTCATTTTTGGTAAACTGGCAGAAAACATCCAGTATGTTCAAGTCAATTAGATTAATTCATTTCTTTAAACGGTCTATAAAACTAAAATTTTGAAACTCCACCTTATATGGGTCAACACTACATCTTTCAACATGTTAAATTTGACCCATAGACTAAGTCAGTTGCTGCCTATTCCTAAGCTTGTTACCAAGGCATGACCATGGCCATCAAAATCAAATCAAGCCAACCTTGCTGCAAGTGTCAGCATTGCATGAGAATGTTTCACATTGCAGCCAGTGTTTGGTATTATAATTTGAAAGAGGCATATCAAGTGTTTCCAGCAAAGTCATGCCCCATTAAGGGTCCAACATTTGGTCCCCAAATATTAGGGCTCTGTTTGGAGCGTCAGGATCCTCTAGAGTAAGTTGTCTAGAGTGATCTCCTAGAGTAAACAATCCAATGGGTGAAATTAAAACTCACCAAAACGACGTCGTTTTGGTGAGTTTTAATTTCACCCATTGGATTGTTTACTCTAGGAGATCACTCTAGACAACTTACTCTAGAGGATCCTGACGCTCCAAACAGAGCCCTAATATTTGGGGACCAAATGTTGGACCCTTAATGGGGCATGAGGAAAGAGAAGAAGAGAGCAGTGAAGCTCTTTCACCTCTGTACACCGATTTCAACCTCTGTTTTTTTTTTTTTGACTGAAAGTATGTCTAAGGAATGTAAACAGTAGACAAATGGTGAAGGTGATGATGATCTGTATATACCAAAAAAAAGGCTGGGTCGATTCCATGAATATATAGATACATAAAAACTATCAAACACTGGTTAAAATATATAGATCTATGTATAAAATAGTATAATAATTATAAATATGATCACATCAGCCCCTCCAATGTACCTCCCTCGAATGAACACTTGTGGCAAAGTCACATTCTTTACACCGAAAACGCTCATCAACTCTTTCCTAAACGCCGAATCCATGGAAATATCACGCTTGTCAACAATAACGCTAAATCCCCTCAATATCATCCTCACGGCATAGCAATCTTCGTATGCCCTTCGAATTCCTCGTAAACTAGTGAAATACACAACAATTCGATCTTCCGTACCCTGTAACCGAATCGAAGAGTTGGGTACTAATGGAGAAACCCAAGAATCGGAACCCAATGATTTTCCCGATTTCAATTTACTCGGAGATGGAAACTGAGTCTGCGGTTGTGAACCGTCTAGAACCAAGGTTGGGGATTTGGTGGATTCGAATATGCTGCAGAGCTGTCTCACCTTTCCTTTGATCGAATTCTTGGTCGATTCAAACGGTGAATGAATTTTCTTGATCGATCCATTGCGTTTGAGAGAATAGTGAGGGTAGGGTTTGTTCCGAAACTTGCTCGACATTACATGCAAGGTTAGGGACCGATTGAAAACCGATGGTTTTGGATTGTCAGATAATTCGAATCGATCGTCATAACCAGCCATAGTTATAATTCAGAAAAAAAAAATGAATCTTTTGATCTTCTATGATCAGGGTTTCAAAATAATAGAAAAGAAATTATCAAAGATCGGTTAAATTTAGGGTTTCTGAGGCTGTGGAATTGCAGAGGTGAAAAGCTGTTTTTTTTTTTTTTTCTTTTTCTTTTTCAACTTACTCACCAAAACGACGTCGTTTTGGTGAGTTTTAATTTCAACCGTTGGATTGTTTACTCTAGGAGATCACTCTAGACAACTTACTCTAGAGGATCCTGACGCCTGTTTGAAAAAGCTTTGGAATTGTAATTCCACCTCTTGGTTTGCACGTAGTATTTGGTTGTAGTTTTCAAAAATTAATTCCATACCCACTTTGAAAACTCCTTTATTGTATAAGAGAGTGCTTAAAAATTTTATTTTTCAATTAATTCTATTAAATAAAAAATTCTGATAAAAAAATATTTATAATTTTTTAAATTACTTAAGGCACAATTTATATTTTAAATAAATATTTAGAGGTGTATTTTTAACCCTTAAAAATAAAAGCACTGCGAGAAGGAAGATCGTTTCGCTAGGAGAGTGATTTTGTTGACAGAGGTGAAACGGTATAAAATTAACATTTATTGATGGACACGTGACAACTTATAAAGAAAGGGACAGGAACCTGGGATAGGAAAATGGGGACAGGGAATTTGAACCCATCAAGACTAGAGCTTAATGAGAAAGCCACCACATTCCATTACCGTATAGCTTACCCACTCAAAAAAGTTACCGTGACTTCACAATAAAAGAGTTTATACGCCCCCAGTTATGCACACACATTCCATAACCGTATAGCTTACCTGCTCAAAAAAAAAAAAAAAAGAAAAGTCTATACTTTGCTATGTTCCCCAACTCCACCAACACATTATATTCCCACCAAAAAAAAAAAAAAAAAAAGAAAAGTCTATACTCCCCCAGTCCTCTCTCTCTCTCTCATTTTAGGGTTTCGTTTCCGTTTGAATTCAGGAATTAAGATGACCATGGAGACAAATCAACGCACTCTGACAATCCCGTTCATATTAGCGAAAGATCTGGAGAGAGTCAAACTTTCGAACAAGATGGAGGTGTACGCGTACGTGTTCATCTCCGGCGGTGGAAAGCAAAAGACGGCCGTGGACAGAGACAGTGACACGAACCCGACCTGGAACGGTCCTATCACTTTCAACTTAGATATGGAGTCCGCGGTGGCCCAGATCCTCGTGTTCGAGCTCAACTGCTATGATCAAAACGGCGGCGATAAAGTCATCGGAGAAGTGTTTGTGAAGGTTAAAGACCTGATGGGCTCGATCGAGGGTAGTCTGACCTTTCATGTTCGAACCCCTTCTGGAAATCCCAAGGGTGCGCTCAATTTCATGTATGAGTGGGAAGTTCAGAAGGTTGCTGGAGCGGTGTTGTCTCCTCCGTCGCCTACTATGGTGGCGATGAGTAGCTTAACCACTTGTTATCCTCCTCCAGTCATGGGTCCACGGTCATATGGGGCAGCAGCAGCAGTAGCCGGGCAGTATAATTCACCTTATCCTCCTCCAGCTATGGTGATGGGACAACCGCCACCGGGTTACGGGTATGGGTATGGCCTGTACCCTCTGGTGCAAGTGCAAGAACAGGCTGAGCCTGCAAAGAAGAAAAAAGGAGGATGGTTTGGCCGAGTCTTGGCCGCGACGGCGATTAGTGATGTCCTCAATAATGTTTCACTACTAGACAAGGTTATGAAAAACGGTTGTAGTCACTGTAACGGTAGCGGTGGCACGGTTGCGGTTGTGGGGTGTAAAGGCCGTAGTGTAACGGTTGCGGTAACCGGAACCGTGAACTTTTTTATTTTTCGCACAATTTGAAAAAAACTTACCGATACACGTATTTTTTTTCCATGATCATATTTATTGGGTTAAAAATAAATATTGATCAATTTTTATAAATTTTTAAGCATGATCTAATATATTTCATATTTTTAAATCACTATAAACTGAGTTTTTTACATTTTATTTTAATAATTATTGACTTTATATTAAAAAAAAAAATCAATCACTAACTATTATATATAAGATAAATAATGACAAAAGTAAGAGAATAAATAAGAGCCTAAATAGATATTATATATGCATATTTTAACCAAGCCAAATAGATAATGACCACACTTATTATTATTATTATTTTCAAACAATATATAGATAGATACACATAAATAAAATGGTTGAGTGATAGCAGCTGAAGAGAATATCATAGGTCTTACAGCTTCAACAAATTAATAATATGTTCTTCATCTTACCTCTTCTCTCTATCTCTTACTCCTTCATTTTCTCCCTTTATCTTTCCTCTTCTCTCTTATCCCTCTTCTCCGATTTTCAGCTTTTTTTTTTTGTATGTTTTTTCGAAAGAAACAGTTTGGAACCGTTACGGAATGGTGTGTAACATGTCGTTACGGCTGTTACGGCACCATTACGACCGTTACGGTAGCCGCTACGGCCAACACACCTGTGAATCTCAATCACACTGCAAAAGCGGCCGTAACGGGTGGCGGTAACCGCCAAAACCGTTATGTAACGGCGTTACGTAATGGTTGCGGCCACTTTTTAAAACCTTGCTACCAGATGATCTCGGGTTTTGAGAGTCACTTTCATATGATGATGATGGTGAATTATGTGTTTCAACGGTTCCATCATTTCATAGTCTATATTATGCTTGCTTTGTGTTTTATTTTAATATGATCAACTGAGATGCTTCAAAATTATGTGTTTGAACACTTTCATCATTTCATAATCTATATTATGCTTGCTTTGTGTTTTGTTTTAATCTGATCAACCGAGATGCTTCAAAATGGAACATGTGTATATATATATTATTGTGTAGTCTAAATTATTTTGATTACCAGCTCACCTCACCTCACCTCACTTCACTATGAAATAATTTTTTAGATTACACATTAATTTTGTCTCTCTCTCTCTCACTCACTCACTCACTCACTCACTCACTCACTCCTATCATCTTTATTGCTTTTGAACCCTTTCTTTATAAACAAAATTAGTTATCTGCTGCTGCTGCATTGGTACATATATTGATTTGATATTTGATTTCTCAACTTAACTACTATATATGTTGCTGGCTCTATATGTATAGATTGCTTGGCATATAGTATGGTAATAATGACTAAGACTATTGTTCGTTTATGTAAAATCTTGCTTAAAGATTTTCATTATATGCTTACGTCAAGTGGTTTTTATGATAGCGCTATTGTTTAGGGTTTTCTTATATAGGAACCAAAAGGGAACCAAACACTGAGGATGCCAAGTTGCTAAGACAAACAATTTCTTGCTGGGGTCTTTTTCTGTCATAATTTTCTTCAATCTCTTATCTTTCAAATACACAATTAAACCCTTCAGTGGCTTCCAACCAAGCCCAGTTCAAACCAGCCTTTCTCTAACCAAAACACCACCCCGACCAGCACCACCACCAGCACCTAGTGAGAGAAGAGGCCGGCAGAAGCAGGTGAGCTGGGGCGGTTCCTAGGCATTAGGCAGCGGCCTTGGGGCAGGATGCCAAGTTGCTAAGACAAACAATTTCTTGCTGGGGTCTTTTTCTGTCATAATTTTCTTCAATCTCTTATCTTTCAAATACACAATTAAACCCTTCAGTGGCTTCCAACCAAGCCCAGTTCAAACCAGCCTTTCTCTAACCAAAACACCACCCCGACCACCACCACCAGCACCACCACCAGCACCTAGTGAGAGAAGAGGCCGGCAGAAGCAGGTGAGCTGGGCCGGTTCCTAGGCATTAGGCAGCGGCCTTGGGGCATTTAGGCTGCCGAAATCAGAGATCCTTCAACCAAAGAAAGACATTGTCTTGGGACATTTGACACTGCTCATAAAGTAGCGCTTGCTGATGATAGGGCTGCCCTTTCCACTAAGGGGGCGTGCATGAGCCATATCAACTCACAAGGACAGTGTTTTCACAGGCCTATGCGGATAAGTATGGTTTTAGCTTTGATTATATATATATATATATTCGTAGCATGTTTAACCTTTGATTCCAACAAAGAGTAATACTAATATTCATATATAAAGTCAATTATAAGCAAAAAAATTGTTTTTCAACAAAATAAAAATAAAAATTGAAAGATTGATATACTAACAAAGCTTAGTGATTATTTGTCAAAAGTAAAAGAAAGAGAAAGAACTCAAAAACTAAATGAATAAGAATGGAAATGTTTGTACGGATGAATATGGGGAAAAAAAATTAATAAAAATTCATAGCACCTGTTAGAAAAATCATGTAAGTTTTAGTTGTAAGAAATTTGGTACAAATATTTTATTAAAAAGCATTTGTCGCATATACATGTATAATTTAGATTAAAATAAGAAGATAAAGAATTATTTAAAATGAAAATGAGAATATGAGTATTGACGACAAAGATTACAATAAAACAAATCCAGCCATTGAAACACAAGTTTTGCATACCTTTCCATGGGTGTAATGTTACAGATTTTGAAAACCATGTCATTGAAAGGCACATTATATACACTTTAATGAAAAACAAAAGTGGATATAACATTTGTAGGTAGATAATTAGGGGTTGTTTGAGGTGTTTTAAATAAGTGCACTTTTTTTGTCTTTTTGGATTAAAAAGTTGAAGAAAAAAATATGGATATTTTGGTTAACTTTTTGTCTTTTTACGAAAAAAATGTGTAATAAAAAATTATATAAATAAAGTGTATAGTGAAAGAAATGTGATTGATTGTACGGCTGCCCAGCTGCGCCCAGCAGGTCAAGAAAGTAATTGCCTCCTTCGGGACAAAGTGTTTGGACAGTGATGGTCGGTCCGTGGGGGCCACCATGAGTCCCATTTTAATAATCTGAACCGTTAATATGTACAACTCGTCGAGTATTATGTGTTTATAAAAAATCACGTTGATCGGATATCGATACCTATATGATTAGATTAGTTTTTTTCAATAGTTAATTATCACACCATTTGTTTTGTTTATACAAAACTGATTTGATCATATAGTTAACGATATCCGATTAACGTGATTTTTTACAGGCATATATTAATCGACGAGTTCTACATATTTAACGGATTGTATTATCAAAACAGAGTCCTTAGTGCGCCCCCAAGAACCCAACATTACCATCAAACTTTGTAACTTTACCTATAGAATTTGTTTTTGCCCCCAAACAAAGTGTATAATGCTTGGTCTCTATCACAAGCACGGTTGAGAACAGCTGTTCAGTCCATTTGTATTATAAAAATATATAAATTATTTTTTTAATATTTTTTATTTGTGAATAGTAATGTCTTTTTTGTTTTTTGTGTAACTTTTTGTCTTTTTGGATTATTTTTAGATTGTCAAACTTGGCCTTGGTTCATTTAAGTTTGTTGACAATTACAATTATATAAAAGAATTATTATGTTAATTTAATTGTTATGTTGGATTGTGTTTCAAGCAAGTAACAAAGTGTGCCTTTATATTTTATTGGCTCATGTATTTTTTTTTTTTTTTTTATCAGCAAAAAACTTTATTGATGTAATGGAGTATACAAAGTATGAGGGTACATCCATAAAGAAGGGAAAGGAAAGAACAAGCATCACAGGATTACTCTTGATCCCATCAAATTAGACACCAAGAGAGAGCCATAGCAAATGCTAACCGAAGCCACAGAGTTGATAAGGTACCAACAAGAGGCAAAAGCCACAAACCAATGTCACCCGAACTGAAAGAAACTCTGCATATCTAAAACCTTAAAAGCCCCATTTGTTTTTAGAGGTAGAATGGAGGGAATTGATAGTGAGGGGATTGATAGTGAGAGGATTAAGTAAAATTGTGTTTGCTTTGATGATAGTTGTTAGTGTAGGGATTGTTAAATTATTTTTATATAAAATAAATATAAAATAATAAAACAAATAAAACAAATAAAAAAACATTAAACATTAATGTTTTTAAAAAAATGCCCAACATGTAAAAAAATTTTAAAAATAAAATAAAATAAAATAAAAAAATTTCAGAAAAAATAAAACAAATAAAATAATGATTTTTACTTAACAAGAAATACAAAAAATTAAATATTAATGTTCAAAAAAAAATACCCAACATGTAAAAAATAAATAAAAACAAAAAATTTCTAGTCCGCCAGACTATTTTTCTAATACCAATTCTTGGAGGCCTATTCGAATCCCCTTTGGGGAGGCCTATCCTAATCCGGAGCTCACTATCAATCTCCTCCCCATCTCTCAAAACAAATACAATATTAGTGAGTCCCACCTCACTACCAATCACAATCCCCCCTCTAACTCTCCAAACAGACGGGGCCAAAGAGCCAACCTGATCTGGTGTAGATTGGACACAATATCATGGACCGAATAATTCACCACCAAATGCCATTTGATCCACAAGGCTATCTGCACCTTAATTTTCTCACACAATTCTTGAATGTTAGGATGAGCACCTTTAAACAAGCATTCATTCCTCAATTTCTAGACAGACCATAAAACAACAGCAGGGACTATCTGCCGTACTTTGAGTAACCAAGCCTTGAACTAATCTACAGCCCACCAGTGCAACAAATCTGCTACTGATCCTGGTATGGCCCATACCTGATCCTATCAATCAACCATGTTAGACCAGTACTGCCACGCCAAAGGGCAAAACAAAAGAACATGATCAACAGATTCCACCTCAGAGTGACAGAAAACACGCAGATTATTGGCATTCATGTCAATAGCCCCAATTCTTTGTAGGAAGGAAGGGGTTTTAACCCTGCCACGCCAAGCCAACCAACAAAAAAATTGCATTTTTGGAGGAGCAAAACTTACCTACACCTCTGCTGGGACTACCAGACCAAGACCTCTAGCTGTAACCCTCCACTTCCACACAGATGCAACTGTGAATTGCCTTGAACTCTCTGCTGACCAGGAGCAAGAATCCTCAATTCCAAATCTTAGAGGAGGGGATAAATTCAATATTCCTAATAGCTTCTGCACCTCCTCCTCTTCCCAAGCTAATAGATTCCTTCTAAACTGAAGCTGCCACTCCCATGAGTTACTTTTCTTTACACTAATTTGCTGCAAAGACTCCTCATTCTCTGTTGATAAACTAAATAGTTTAGGAAATTTAGCTTTCAAGACTCTGTTACCCAGCCATGTATCATACCAAAACTGAATTATCCTCCCATTACCAATTATGATTTTGACCTGATCACCAAAAAAATCACCCAACTACTGATTGACCATAGAAAGCTGCGAGATATCCTTCCACGCTATTGAAGTTCCATGTGATTGATTTACTGAGGGTCTCCATTCCCCACCAATTCTGCCATACCTAGAGCACACCACGGATTTCCACAGAGCCTTGTCATCCCTACCATACCTCCATATCTACTTCAAAAGTAGGCACTCATTAACCTCTCATAGGTCCCTGCCTCCCAACCCTCATTGACTCTTACTTTTGGTGACCTTTTTCCATTTAACCAGGTGTACTTTTCTATTGATTGCAGTCCCTTCCCATAGAAAGTTGGCTTGAATTTTAGAAATAGTCTTGACAACCCCCTTAGGCATTTTGAAGATAGAATGAAAATAGATTGGCAAATTGGATAGGGTTGATTTAATCGAAGTTGATCATCCAGTAAAAGATAATAACTTTCTCTTCCAAGATGAGAGTTTCTTCTGAAACTCAGCCACAACTGGGGACCAAGTGCTCTTCCTTCTGGGATTGGACCCTAAAGGCAAGCCTAAAAAATTAAATGGCAGCTTCTTAGACAAACAGTTTAGGATCTTAGCAAACTCCTTAGATTGATCTTCTGGGTAGCCCACCCCACAAACAACACTTTTGTGATAATTAATCTTTAATCCAGATACCACCTCAAAGCACCTCAACACCCTCTTTATATTTAGAACTTCCTCCTTACCACCTTCACAAAAAATGATAGTATCATCTGCAAATTGAAGATGTGAAATTCCCAACTGGTCAGAGCCTACTATAGCCCTTTTGATCAAGCCCTTCTCTACAGCCCTTTTCAATAAAAGATTAAGACTTTCAGCTGCAACAATGAACAGAAAAGAAGATAAAGGATCCCCTTGTCTGAACCCTTTTTGGGGTTGAAACTCCTCAGTGGGTGCACCATTGACCAATATAGACACCTTAGCTGTTGCAATACAACTTTTCATCCACCTAATCCATCTTGCACCAAAGCCAAAGTTACCCAATATTGAAAATAAAAACTCCTAGTTTAAGGAGTCATAGGCTTTCTCAAAATCCAACTTCAGTATAATACCTTTCTTCTTAGCTCTATTCCACCCATCTACAACTTCATTAGCTATCAATACTCTATCTAGAATATGTCTACAACTTAAAAAGTTGATTGCACCTCACTGATCACAACTGGAAGCACCTATTGGCTCACGTATTTGTGCCATCTTGCATGAATGTGATTCTATGTATTTACAAATATATCCATTGAGTATTTGTAATTTATCCTAAATTTTGAGTCAATTTTTGTTTTGTTGATGAGTTTTTTGTTTTAAAATGACAATATATATATATATATACATGTCACATTATTATGAATTGATTTTACTCTCTCTCTCTCTCTCTCTCTCTCTCTCTCTCTCTCTTTTTAAGTTTTTTTTTGTATTATTATTGAAAATAGCTATGGCACAAATAAATTCACCGATGCCGGGCACTTGCAAGTGAGGAATATGTATTTTTAAAAAAATAATAATAAAGAAAATCTCTTGCACTTGCCTTGGATGAGATATAATCTTCAAAGCTCTTCTTGTATTCATCATATAACTTTTGACTTTGAGGACCAATAGTGTTACCACACATATTGTAAACAGTTCTATTGAGCTTTGAGTTAAAGATATTCAAGTAGTATAACAAAAATTCATATAAATTTTTTTAAAAAGAAAACAGATAATAAATTCAAAATAAGGTTAATTGCATACTCATATGGTTTTGCATGAAAACACCTAACCCTTTAAAATGTAATTAAAGTTGTGTTTTTAGGTTAGATCATAAGGAAAAAGTATAACTAGAGCAATTAACTATGTAATTAACCTTTTAAAGTGTAATTGATCCTTTAAAATATAATAATAAGCAATGAAACATATAAAAATTCATGTAAATTTAGGCAATCATGTTCATGAGGATCTGATAGAGCTAATAATAGTAGTAATCAAATTGAGATTGTTCCAAATAATCAGACAGCTAAATTTGTTATTTAGATCTAGAATTTATGGAGAAAAAAAAAATCACAAATTCAATATCCATACACTTGTGCTCAAAAAAAAAAATAAAAAAATAAAAAAAATAAAAATAAAAATCTAGACGCGAAGTTGAGTTCATGTTATGCCTTAAGGTTTTTTTTTTTATTAGCAAAAAAAAAGGGTCTTTATTGATGAAAACATACAAAGTATGATAAATACATCAATAAAGAGGAGCATGGAATGAGCTCAAGCTCCAAGGTCCACTACGATAAAAAGCATTTTCGGCGACTAAAAAATCCCCTTTGGTCGCTGAAAGTAGCATTTTCGGCGACTAAAAAAAAAAAATCACAAATTCAATATCCATACACTTGTGCTCAAAAAAAAAAATAAAAAAATAAAAAAAATAAAAATAAAAATCTAGACGCGAAGTTGAGTTCATGTTATGCCTTAAGGTTTTTTTTTTTATTAGCAAAAAAAAAGGGTCTTTATTGATGAAAACATACAAAGTATGATAAATACATCAATAAATAGGAGCATGGAATGAGCTCAAGCTCCAAGGTCCACTACGATAAAAAGCATTTTCGGCGACTAAAAAAGCATTAGTAGCCAAAAGTGAAGACTTTTGGCAACTAAAACAATTTAGTAGCCAAATGTATAGGTATTGGCGACTAAAAATCTATTTGGTCACCAATATATGGCTTTTACAGACTAAAAAAATTTTAGTAGCCAAAAGTAAGGACCTTTGGCGACAAAAAAATTTTTAGTAGCCTAAAGTGAGGCATTTGGCGACTAAAACATGTTTAGTAGCCAAAAGTGAGGCTTTTACCGACTAAAAACATTTTAGTAGCCAAAAGTAAGGCCTTTTGGCGACTAAATGTTTTTTAGTAGCCTAAAGTGAGATTTTCGGCGACTAAAACCATGTTTAGTAGCCAAAAGTGAGCTTTTTGGTGACCAAAAAGAAGTTTAGTCGCCAAAAGTGGTAATTTTAGTGTGGGAAATTTATTTTTCAACGACTAAAAAATAATTAGTAGCCACAAGTATAGAATTGGCGACTAAAATTATGTTTAGTCGCCAAAAGTGGTCTCTTTTTTTTACAATCATATGGTGTTATGGAGGCGTAGTGGAAAGAGTATGTTGTATAAGGTGTATGGTGTGGGAGGTTCATGGTTTGAAACTTTAGAAGAGCAGAGGGGTAATTTTTTTTTTTTTTCACCAAAAAACTTTTGGTGACTAAAATGTTTGGTCGCCAAAAGATTGAGTATTGGCGACTAAAAAATAGTCGGTAAATGTATAATTTTAAAAAATATAATTGACTATTGGCGACTAAAATATTAGTCTATAAATGTATAATTTAAAAAATATGATTGACTATTGGCGACCAATGTTTTGGTCGCTAAAGAATACCTTTTTGGTGAC